AATCTTAGTATTTACAGGAAGAGAAGACTAAATAGGCAGAAAAGTACTAAGTTTCATGTACATATTGTAAAGTTAAAAGCCTTTTCCCGGTAAATTCATATTTCCTACTATAATTTTTCTGCCTGCAAAGCATTTTAGATTGTGCCTTCAGCTTTTCTCAGGAGTTTAGGGAGCAAGTTGTACTGTCACTCAAACCTTTCCAGCGGCCACTGGCTTCACTGCTGACAGAACAAGGTTTTCATTGTTAAGCAGCACAGGAAATCAAACACTAAATAACTACAAACACTTGGGCACTAATACAGGCATAAGGGGAAAAGAAAGCCCCACGTGAATGAAACAACAGGTGCTAGCTCCTTACCATTGGTTTTTGTTGTGATGGGCCTGGCATAGCTACACCACTACTGGTATTAACAGCTTTCTTCGTCAACTGTATGTACACGTTCCCATGGTCTTTTGAAACCAGGCAGTGGTAGAGATCATCATACTTGACTTCGAGGAAGATGGCATCGCGGTCTGTGTAATCACCACTCTTCAGGAAATAAACAGCTTTAGATGAGATGAGAACACAGTAGCTGTCTATGTTCTCCACTGCTATAAAGCTGCAAAGACGGGAAAAGAAAAATGAGTCACTTGAAGCTAGAACTAGTAACCTAACAAATGTCTTCTTCACCTGTTATGTTTTGTGACCTTCGAAAGTCATTCTCTCAAAAAATTAATAATGGTACATGTACAATTCATCTGTATTTAAACTGTTCTAAAAAAAAAATCAAGCTGATGAAGTACCCTCTCATCCAGTTAGAAAAGATGATGCTGTAAATCAAATATTAGCACTACATGTCTGGCTTCTAGCTCTGGACATTAAAAGGGCATGTAAAAATATCCTTTAATAAGGTTTAAGAAGAGTCATTTCCTCGGAAGTCATAATACTGAAGCTTAATTGTAACTAACTTCAGTTCCAGTGCTGATATGTGAAAGGTTTTCGACATTTATGACAAGAGCATTATCCTTCTATGCACTGTAAACCTGCTGTGCTTCCTTTTACCACACACCTCCCCTGCCTTTAAAAACAAAAAAAACAAGTTTAACCTGCTGCCTGGATCAGTAGCTAGAAAAGAGAAATTAGCTGTTTAACATGGGGGTGAAAGGTTAAGCAGCAAGCAGGTTTCCCCAGAGAGATTAGTCTGAGTGATGAATAGTAGAGGTAGAAAAGAGCGAGTCCAGAATACTGAGAATTATGATGGCTGAAGAGGTAACAAAAATAATGTGACACAAAAAATAAAACCATAAAGTGAAGTAGATAGGTCACACACACGCTTCTCCCCCACTTGTCATTTACTACTGAAATGAACCTCATTAGCGGGGTTTCTGAAATGCTGAAAGTTCCAGAAAACTAAATATGAAGTTACATAACTGTGGAAGACTGCTACATAGAGTAGTAATGCTCCATCAGCAACCCAGAGCAGCAGAAGCATAGCTGTAAAACTAAGATTCTTCTGCTGTCAGGTAGCTTCAAAAATGACTATTTTCTGACCCGTTGCTTACACAAGTCTGCTGTTGTCCTGACACTTTGTGCAAAATACTCCACTGGCTCTGAAATTAATGGAATTTGCTCATACTCGGGAGGTTTTGGGAGATAAAAAAGCTCTACCATTTAAGTAACGCTTTGCACAAATTACTCTGAGCTGTATCCAGACAAACCCATCACTACAAATGGAATTTTAATAGCCAGAAATATTTCAAGGTCAGATCATGGTTTCTTTTTGTGGTGTAAAAGAATAATTCCAGTAACTTTCTATTGGTAGTTCTCTGAAAGACTGCACTGTGCACTGACCTTGTCTCTTCCTATGCCTCCTAGCCCTGTCAGCTCACAAGTGCCCTTGCTTCCATAAACTTGGGAAAGGCAAACATACTCCTACAAGTCAACAGCTTACCCTGTCATTGAAGTGCTAAGAAGAGCACAGCCTTTCTAATTAAAAAAAGGCCTGTAATAGACTGTGCCCAGCTCTAACCTTGGATAAAACTGTGGGATAGGAAAATTGAATTGTGCTCCCTTAAGTAAAACAAAATAGACAAACCCATTTATTTCAGGTTTAAAAAAAAAAACCCAAAAAAACAAACAAAACCCCCTGAGGTGAAAGATGTTAACACAGTTACTGAAATTAGCAGCTGCTCCTCAGTTTTCCATCAGGAGTTCAGACACTTCGGGGTAAGGTTTTTGTCTTGGAAATAAGTAGGATGGAGAGTGATAAGTGTCACAGAAAACTTAATTTTAGAAAGAGAGCAGCATTATAGCCTGCAGAATAATAGTCTTGTTCTTTAGGACAGACACATAAAAGCAAATACAGCATTTGACAGAGGTGCTAGCTTTGCCTTAAGTGAGGCCTCCACAACAGGAGGAACCAGAGACAACTTCATGGCACAGTGACTTGTGCCGCCGCTTCTCCAGCAGAGGAAGACTGAAAGGTGATCACCAGACACCCCAAACGCTGTGTCTCTGTCTCCTGCTGCAGTCACAGGGAGGCTGAGAAGCTTGCGGTGGTTTGGTGCACCCACAACAGCAGCACAGCTGTTCTCCTGATGGATGGGGGGATGTCCATGAGGAGAGCTGAAGCCTGCAAAGCTACTATAACATTCAGTGGAAGCAACTGGGTAATGGGGCTGTGGGTTTGTACTTCCTCTGTAAGAACAACAGATTTTAAATCTCATTTTCCATACAAGATTTTTACTGGTGTCATGTATGTATTTTGAGGAATGGAAACAGAGGTCAATGATTTAATTGCAAAGCATAGAAACATTAGCTGCTCTGTATTCAGGCTCTACATTTTGTCCCAAGTTTGAGTCATGCATCATTACCCATTTGCTCTTGCCAACTGTTACTTTCTTCTCCATGTCCAGTTCTCAAAATTGGTATTTAACCTTTTAAGATACTACTTCAAGATACTACTAGTTGGTTTTTCTTAAACCCATATTTCTGCACTATTATAAAGATCTCAAATTAATAAATGAAAAATTAAATGAAACATGATCCAGTAGAACAAAGTAGAAGCAACCAGATCTCTGGGGAATTTGTGGGGTTTTTAACAACATCAGGAAGTAATTACACAATATTTTCCAGAAGTGAAACAGCCAGCCTAACTGGAAAAAAATGTGGAAACACTTAGTTAGAACAGTAGAGCAAGGTATTAAACCCCCTTTTATGGATTTAACTCTGAAGGAAAATATGCAAATAATCAGGTCTTTAAATGTGTTTCTGATTATGATGCTAGGATAAAAGAGGCATAATTTTGTACTTACTTTCATGACAAGAAATGCTGTTTTGTCGTTGAATGATGTTCCTAATGGTGAAAGTCACAGTGAATGAACAGCGTGACTCGATGACAAAAGCCCACTGATCTGCTTATGGGTGCACTTGCTAAGAGCTGGCAATGCTTTTGGTCACAAGTGGCTCTCTTTCACTTTTCCCTACCTAAGGCCCAGACTGTATATGCATAATGACACTTAAATGAGATGAAAACAGGCTAAGAAGGGTGTGAGATCACAGGGCTGCAAGCAAGTAGCAGATTGGATTCTACCTTCAGCTGCCTCCAAGAGCCTGTAGGGTGTCTTTTGTCTGTCAGAGCCTGACCATCGATACTGGTGAAATTAAGATATTAAAAAATAAAGCTGCAGGTTGTTTTGGCCATTGCCTGTTAACAGCTCAGGAACAACATGTACCACAGGTGTCCAAGTTAGTGGCTTTCTAAATCAGAGCCGCCTCAGAGCGCACTGTGCTGGTCGGTGGTGGTCCATGTTCTGCTGTCATGGATCACTAGCCACTCTCCTAGGCCTTGGGCTGTGTGGAATGGGACAGAGAAGGGAAGAGATACCGGTAATGCCTGGATGAATGCTACACGGAAGAAGAGCACAGGCTTGAAACACACACTTGTTTTATCAGTGGAGGGTCGGATATGCATTATGCTTGTTAGTGCTTCTGCTGTGCAGCTAATGGGTATCAAGGGAAAACAGACAACATGCATGTGCATGTGGGTGTGTAAAGCAGTTTCAGTCCTTCTTCCCCAAAAACATGAAGATACAATGGCAGCAAACATGGATGGGGCTTGGAGCAACCTGCTCTAGTGGGAGGTGGCCCTTGCTCATGGCAGGGGGGTTGGAACTAGATGATCTTAAGGTCCTTTCCAACCCAAACCATTCTATGATTCTATGAAACATAACTTCTTAGAGTAACTTAGTACTTACAACTCATCTTGGATGTTGTCAGTCAGTTTGAAGAGCTGTTCTTGTCCTTCTGCTTGACTTTCTGAGTAGCGGGGCAAGAGCCCTTGCGGTCCCCTGCAGCAGCGGGGCTTCCTCACTCTCTCTGCTCGTGTCCTGCGTGCAAAATAGACGGAGAAAAATGACTGCAGCACTTTTCCTTCCACTTAAACCTGTCAGCACACAAAGTTTTACTTACTGTGAAGTGTGACAAAGAAATACCAGGTCTTTGCAAATACAGCAAACAGATTCTGTAATAGTTGATGTGGAAAATGTGATGTCTGTTCATCTGGTTTTACATGTCAAAGAAATGTCTCCCAATTTTCTTCTTCAGTTAAGGGGCAGTGTGCTAAATTAATAGGAAGAAGCAACCTAAGCTGAGTGAGGACACTGTCTGCAGATTTGGGATCTACTTATCAGCACAGTTCTACTGATCTGTTTCTTCTCACTGCTCTATAGAAAACAAGACTGCATCAGCCTCGATAGAGCTCATGTTTATTTCAAAGCATTGAACGGTTATGGAAATAGGAACATGCAGCTAAGACAAAAGAAAAATCCACATTAACTAGATGGTTCTGCAGTGGGTTTTGCATAACACCTTTCCTGAGCATCTATTAAAAATGACAGTAATAAGAGACACATACGTGTGGCCTAATAAACATCAGAGGTCGATACTGGCGCCGGTGCTGAAGAACTGCAAGGCAGGTTCCTCCCTTAGCAGTATTTTGTTAAAAAATAATACTCTGAATTCGTGTAAGCTTCTGGAACACCCCTACCCCTGAAGAACTGTGTTCCAGGCTGCCTGCTTTATTCTCTGTCCATTCGCAACAGCATCACCCCGGGTCTGCTGCCTGCTTTCTCATCTCTCTGTCAGGCTACTGCTGTTAGGAACTTTCCAAGCCAAATGCACCAGTGGTGATTAGTGCTCTCCACTTCTATCTTGAGACTTTGTACTGACCCTGTGCAGTGAACTGCTCCCATCCTTTTCCATCAAAAGACAGGACAAAAATCCCATGTTAGGACATGTTTTCTTTCTAAGCTGCCTGGCACTAGCACACAGGAGTAGCTGCCTTCTAAGCTTTGCTTTTTGCAGCTCTTTCCTCCGGAGCCTTGTTTGTGTGTCACCTTTCCTTTTCAGCCACCTTGTCCCAGACTTGCAACCCAGGTACCCTTTTACCATTTGTTTTCCTTTGAGTCTTTGACACCTTTGCCTTTCAATGGCAACAGACTGAGGGGGGGAGTTTGCCCCTTCCCTTTTTGGCTGCAGTGAACATTACTGGAACACCATCTCTTGAATGTCATTCATGACTCAGTATCACATTTGCTGCTCTCCCGCTGCGTGATGGGCCTCTCGGTGTTTTGGCTGTCCCTGCTCTGTCTGGTACCAACAAGGCATTTTGCAAACAAGGTTTAGAAGCCAAAGATACTGACTTTGCAGCACAGCAGGCGAAAACATCATCCAATTTCTTTTTTTAATAATTATGACTATTTGGTGAGTTCTGGTTTTGTTAATGAGGTTACTGCATCCCTGACCTGCATAATGAACCCCAGTGGCTCAGAAGTAGCTCTTATCACTGATCCTCTTGGAAAGAAACCAGGAGAGACAGAATGCTCTTGACTTCAACTTCAGCTGAACTATGGTTATGCTAAGATAGAAAGTCAGTTTGTCAGCAGGGAGGATGAAATGAAAATTCTCCAACTAAAAGAATGTGAAACAGAGCAAGGGCTACAGAAACCATAACAAATGCTGTCGTTAATAGTGCCAGTAATATGTTGTTAGTCAAATTTTCAGTTTTCCCTCTGCTGACAGATGTTCTCACTGCTACCTGTCCCACCGCACTGCTCTGCTTTTGGCTAGATGTTCATTCATTAATTACAGCGTTATGCATCTAAGCTAAAAAATACCAGTCTGAAAACTGCAATTTGCTGCATAAAGGTACTTAGTATTACTTGTACTCTTCCATTTATAGCCTTTCTTGAATCAGGGTTACCTAACCGCTAGATGATTTCTACAACCCAGGGATGACTTCAGATTATTCTGCAGAGTACCAGCTGCATGCAGTGGTTAGCATTTCACTACTAAGTACTATGACTTTGGAGCAAGTCACCTCTCTTGCCCCTTAGATTTTTTAGCTATAACCAGGATCCCAGCTGTGCCAGGTACAGTTGTATGTTACTGTTTCAAACCTACACCAGAGGGGAATAAGTGCCTGCTTTACCTATTGGATTCTTACGAAGTAGTAAACAAAAGTATGTGCTTACTTCATGAAATGCAAAACGTTGAGGAAAAGGTCCAAAGAAATTAAAGGGCTCCAACCAGTGTAATTCACTTCTCGCTGCTTGTTCTACTTCCTAACTTGCAAAAACAGCAAAATGGTGAAGTTTCACTTAGCCAAGAAGCCCCCACAGGCTGTAAACCTCTACAGCACCTGTAGGTTCTACTGACAAACTTCAAGAGCCTGAAGTGTAATAGAATAGAATCATTTAGGTTGGAAAGGACCTTTAAGACAGAGTCCAACCATTAACCCATCAGGTTTCTCTCTCAGTAGTTTCCCTTCCACAGCAAGTCAGATAATGTTGTTGTTGATTAACTATTTGGCCAATCAGTAACTTTTTAATTGGGCACTTTTCTTAGGATGCATTCAGGAAAGTTGGGTAACTGTTCATATAGGAACTAGCACCAGCGCTGCAGAATGGCTTTTACATTAGCCATCTTCCAGACAAATGTTAACTGTGTGGCAGCACCATGAGAAGAGACAGCTGAAGCACTGCGGGAAAGACTCCTGTAAAAAGGAGGCAAGAACAGGGCCTTTTAGTCAGCCCTGTTCTGGAGAAACCAGAACGTCAGCGAACACTGGTTTGTAATGTCTGGCTCGGAAGCAGGTCAGAGAGCACGTACCAGCAGTGGACGCAAAGGAAGAAGTATTTAAGACTACAGTGCTTACTGCCCCCACTGCCCCTCTGTGCCTAAGTATTCACCCTAGTGATAAAAGATAATCCTCACCTTAGTGATAAGGTCAGCTGCTTTCAACCAGGTGCCACTAGCATGAGCATAAACTGCACTGATTTAGTCTATCACCCCCTTGGCAAATTGCTCTGTTTGGTCTGGACAGCTAAAAACATTCCAGGCAACTCAATTTTTTATATCTAAAACTTTGTTCTACTGTCTCAAGTTACATTCTGTAAATAATAAGCAACACTGATGAAATAAAAAAGCTGCAGATTTGTAAAGCAGGCGGTGGTGTGCCCACATCTGCGTCACATTAAACATGCACTCACCAGATTTGCTGATTCTTTCTTAATAAGCACACAAAGGCAACACAAGACACAAATGCCCTCATGTCTACTAGTCACAGCAGGGAAGAGTGCTGCTGAATGAAGACACAAAGAGATTGGAACTGCTGTCAGAAGGTTGAGGCACACACTCAGTGCTTCGCTGTTCAGACCAAGCTAAACGCTGGAGAATCACTGCAGAAGACTCCAGGCACAGTAACAGCAGCTCACGGTGTTCCCTGGCTGCCTTCTGCACAACACCTCACACAACTCCTGTGAGTCTGCTGTTTTGGAAGCAAACAGATCACAGAGGTAAGGAAGTTGTTCAGGTATTACCAGTGATAATTATTTACCAACTGTGACCAAAAAACTATGCAAGACATCACGTTTTACAGAATTGCTTATTCTTGTTCCTTCACTACATGTCACCCTGTCAGGTTTACACTGTCAGGTTTGTAGATGTGATTCTTGCTGAGGTGCATAAATACACAGTGGCTTTGAAAACAGTAACTGTTACTCATCTTTTAGGCATTTTGGACCTAAAGAATTTTCTCCAAGTGTAGTTTTGACAAAACCATTATAAAAATGAAAATTAGAAACTATCAAACTTTGTATAATCACAGATGACAGTCTGTGAAACAAAACGCTGCACTTGTAAAATGATATTCAAATGTCTGTCTTTCATTTCCCTGGTATCACACCCAGAATTCAGAATATTCAGAATAAAGCAACTTTAGGAAATTTAGCAATGTCTCCTGAGAAAAAAAAGCAGGAAGGAAAATCCCAATGTCCAACACAGTCATCACTACAACTGTCCATTTAAAACATGTATCTGTGGGACTTCTGATCTGTCCTTGTAAGAGAGCAGCACTGGCAACTACAGACCTGAACAAAGAGCCCAACTGCAGCATGGGTACAGACCTTGATCCATGATCAGCAGAGCGCAAGGATACCCCAAATCCTGCACAAACAGCTCTCAGTGCCAGGAGATGCAGTTCTGGTGCCTGAAACCAGTATTTAATGGAAGAGGCTTCACCTGCTGTACCTGTACTGCCTGTCTGGCACCAAGCCTCGAGTCCGTTCTAGCTGCAGACACCAGTGGGCAGATCAGCCAGATGGGCCCTCCAAATAGCTCTGTGGCTACAGGGCTCTGCCCCACGCTCTCCGGCAATGATCTCCCCCAGTGAGACCCAGTTCTTACGGCCACAGCTTCTAGCAACTGTCATTGACACAACACATTCATAAAGGTGTTCCAGTTTAACCACCTCATCACCCCAGCCCATTCAAAGCAGTAACTTACTGGTTCTGGTACAGCTCAGATTCTGTCAGTGTTTCCATTGCAAACTTGTTTTTTCAGGTTTGCATAAAATTTATTGATGAAAGGCTGTTCTGGGCTGTAACCTGGCATTCAGACTGTCAGCCTGGGAACAATTTCTATCCCTTGAAATAATTATAAGCTAACCTCAGTTCAAACAAAGGAAACCTGGCAGGTTAATAGAAGCCTATGAAACAACTCCATTGCTGGTAGTATTTTCAAGACGTAATATCAAACCTGTTACTTACTTGGCTCTGGAAAAAGTCTGCTTCATAAACACAGTGAGTGCTTTGTCTAAGGAGACTTTAGTGCAGTTCAGACCTTAAGAAGGGACTTGCTTTGGTAAATTCAAGGAGGAATGGCTTTACATCTTCTACCACAAGACAGGCAACAACTAAAATACCTGCTGCAGTTACTGGGGTTCAGAACTGGAATGCACCTGCAGCCTTAAGTACCATCATCCCATACACATCATGTCAACAGAACACAGAATGAACACAGTACTTGTCTCACAGACGTCTAATGGGAG